CTGAGCACTGTAGTCGAGAACTACAAATATAAATAATAAATTATACGATAATACATATATAACTCTTATCTACTTCTACCTATTAAAAATAGGTAAAAGACGTTTTGTATAATCGACTAAAATACATTGGATTACAATGGAATATTGGACTTGTCTAACAAGCCAACCCCAATGTATTAATAATATATTCTTATATCACTAATCACTATTCATTAGGCCCTAGGTATATTAATATTTTTAGGCTAGGACTACATTATACGTTTCGTCGGATCCCAAAACCTGTTTTTGTAAAACCCACGAATAAATAACTTAAAAAATAGTTACAATTTCTATCTAGATTAATTACCTCAGATAACCGATTTGTTTATCTAAATAAGATAATAAGATGATTTACTTTTTTTTATCTAGATAAGATGTTAATTACAATTTTTTATCTAGATAAATTATCTAGATAATTCCCAACACTGTTGGAGAGTGAAAAGTTCAAGTAGATCTAGCTACCTACTTACCGAACGAAAACGCTTCCCATAGGTCTCCTGTAGCTCCCTGTTGGATCCACTAATATTCCCGTTTAGGCACTTTCGCTTTTCTAACGTTTTTAACCTAACCGGGTGGATTGAACCCAAGGTTCTCGCTTGCCGGGCGATTGCTCTACTGAGCTATCTGCCACAGCAGTCATATCACATTTTAACCGCGCCTCTTAATAAAAGTATACACTACACTACTGAAGTTAACAGATTCGACCATCTGACTTGATCTCTCGTCGTCTTTTGCCAGTCCACCTTTGTTTTACTCTAGCTCCCCATCAAAAGCAGGTATAATGAGTGTGCTACCGAATATTATCTTGACTGCTTTGGTAGAGACGTAACTAATCTGTCGCCTCCTATATTCCAATGGATCAATTACAATTACTGTTTAAGTATTTATAATCAGGAGTCCTCACGTTATTCTTAGGAAGTACTGTACAGTAAGGCTAGATGGCTATAAGAGGACAATAAGAATATAACACTTGATGTTCTTCTCTATAGTAATCTCCTGGATTAGGGAACTTATAGGATGATCATTGGATCAGAGATAGGAGATCGTTGAGCAATTTTATATTTCTGGATATCGTTAACAGTTTTTCTTATTTGTCCATTAACTGCGTGCAGCTACGTTAGGATTGCAGACAACGTGCAGCACATGGACAATAAAATGGCATGCCACCCAGACCTAAGCACTGAACATCCATTTGCGAACTTGCAAATGTGGTGCAGCTTTAGCAGAAAGCAGCAAGTGTTTCAACGGTTGTTGGCAGGCGCTAAAGTGGGACTGTCCTACATGGAGAATCACAAAAAAAATCAACGAACATGGCAGAGGTGAATGCCATTAGCCAATTAAGGCATGCAAACCTTATCTGCATGAATTTATCTAATTTTTATTTGTACGTATATTTTATTTCTAATGATTACAAGGAACGCAAGTCAATTCCACCAACCAAAACTTATATTCTAATGTACACACATTCTGATATCTTATTGTAATACGATATTTTTCTTTTACAATAACGTTCAAATAAATTATATCATGCATATTGTTTTACTAGAAAAATAACGCAGATGCCATTAATAATAATAATATTAGTATTTTTTTTTTTGATGCGTCAAAGTTCACTGAACAAAATCCTCCAACATTCTTCTTCTTTTTACCTTATTTCATTCAATTGAAGTCAACTAGCATTATTACAAAAATAAATGTCTTTGTTATTTCTTTCATTTTATATTTACATAGTTCCCTATTTAACATGTGATAAGTTTTAACTTTTAATATTTTAAGATATAAATGATTAGGTTAATTTTTTTCTTCAATTTATGTATGATGAGGATAAGTACATAAAAAAAAAAAAATAAGTACGCTTATCATTGGTGGTGGAGGTAAGGTGTAAAAATATATGTTTATACTACCTTAAGGTATAAATATATATATATATATATGTACATAAAAGTTTAACAAGCTTGTCCTGTATTTTTATTTTAAAATCTGAGCACCCTATTTGTACTCAAGAGACAATATACTAAAAGTTCGTAATAGTCCGAATAAGGTTTTAGCGGATAGATGGTACTCAACGGCACTATTTCGCTATATACGCGGATTTTGATTTACTCAAAATTTACCAAAAAAGCTACGTACCCATATGAATAATATACAGATTCCTTAAAAAAAATTCATTAAACGTGTTTACCACCTATTGAAACATTTTACAGGTAAGACAACAAAAAGCATAAATACAACTTTTATTTAAAATATTTATGTGATGCAAAATTAATTTTTGATTTAGCTCGCTTACTAAAAATAATATGCCTGGTGATGTGGATATGGTATAGCAATTTTATAAAAAGACATTCTGATGTTATCAAGTCTAGGCTAGGTGAGATCATTAAACGTTCACGTGCAGCTGTGTCTAGGAAAATAATAAATGAATATTTTGACAACTTACACAATTCTATTTTAGATATATCTCTTCAAAACATAAATAATTATGATGAGACCAACTTTTGTGATGATCCAGGTAGAAAAAAGATTCTAGTCAGGAAAACATCGAAACATGCAGATAAAATTATGAATTCATCAAAGTCATCAGTGTCGGCTATGTTTGCAATCGATGCATCTGGTTTAATGTTACCCCCGTATGTTCTTTATAAATCTTTACAATTATGAAACTTTTGGACTTTTGAAGGCCCTGGTAGGTGCAGTTATAATCGATCTCCTTCTAGTTGGTTTGATTAATGCATATTCGAAGATTGGTTCATATCAATTATTATTTCTCATTGTCGACGTTTACAAGGGTGCAAAGCTGTTGTTGGAGACTATTCAGTTAAAATAATTCAGCTTTGAAAAGAAAATAACATTAAGTTTATATTTTTGCCCTCTAATAGTACCTATTTGACCCAATCACTGGATAAGTCTTGTTTTAGGCCACTTTAAATTGCTTGGCGTAGGGTTTTAGAAGTTCATCAAAAGAGTAGGAAAGGCCCAATTGCAAAGGAAATGTTTCCCAGGTTATTAAAGAAAACACTGGAAAAAATATCAGCTTCTCAATCAAACAAGTTTAAATCAGGTTTTAAAGCAACCGGTTTGTATCCTATTGATAGAGATTATGTATTAAAAAATTGCAAGAAGACGAGTTAGATAAATCTGCATCAGCTATCAAACCACAAGCATTACATGACATGTTTAAAGAGACCCGGTATGGAAAAGTAAATGAGAAAGTTGGCAGGAGAAAGAAATTTAATATTCAGGCTGGATGCAGTGTAACTGAGGATAATTTATTTGTTACTGAAGATGAAACAATTATGATAGATGTAACAGTAAATTAAAAAAAACATTATTAGTTATATTGACACCTTTTTTTTCCTATCGCACCAATATAAAAAATTGTTAATTAATCTAATGTTCAGAACGGAATGATGTCGATGTCTGTGAACTAGGTATACCTTTGATCTTTCTAATAATATTGTTTTTAGTGTCAAGGATGTTTTCCGTGGTCTGTCTGCTTTGCGTGGTATCGAGTCTATTGGACCTGATGGTCTTTCTGGTACTTTTTTATTTGAACTAAAGTCAATCTTAGCGTATCCACTCTGGGTTTTATTTAGGCGGTCACTGGATGAAGGTATTTTCCCGTCAATGTTTAAGTTTAGCTCAGTTACACCTGTGCCTAAGTCCGGTTGCCCGTCTATTGTTTCTAACTATCGACCAATATCCATCCAATCTCATTTATCTAAAATATTCGAGTCTCTTGTACTAAATGCTATCCAGCCATCTATAAATTGTATCCTTATGGAAGAACAGCACGGCTTTCGCCCTGGTCGTTCTACTACCACTAGTAATCTACTGTTTTGTAATTACATTTTTGATTCATTTCAGTGTCGGTCCCAAGTCGATGTAATATATACCGACTTAAAAAAAGCTTTTGATTCAGTGAATCATGAAGTTCTTATTCTTGTTCTTAGAGAAGCTGGATTTGGTGAGCCTCTGCTGTCCTGGTTTAGGTCATATCTTAAAGACAGATATCAGTGGGTTAAGGTGTTTGGCATTAAGTCCAAACTATTTCTGGCTTCATCAGGGGTCCCTCAAGGAGGTCATTTGTCTCCTTTACTCTTCTCCTTATTTATAAACAGTCTTAATCGAGTTTTGCGTCACTGTCGCTTCCTTTGTTTTGCGGATGACATCAAATTATATATGCAAGTATGTAATATTGATGATTGTCTTAAACTACAAGCTGACTTTGACAGTTTTTCTAAATGGTTAAGTGCATTGGGTTTATCCCTTAATCTTTCAAAGTGTAAGGTTTTTACATTTTCTAGGATCCTATCTCCAGTCGTTTTTTCATATAGGCTTGGTATAAACGAAATTACACGAGAATCCGACTATGTAATGGATCTAGGCTTAAAGTTTAGCTATAACCTTGACCCTAGGCCACATATTGAATATGTGTGCTGTAAGGCATTTAAAACACTTGGTTTTGTTATGAGATTGGCAAAAGACTTTAGGCTAAGTATGTCTGTTAAAGTATTATTCTGTGCTCTTGTGCGTCCGATACTGGAGTATGGTTGTGTTGTTTGGGAACCCTATACAGCAGGTGATTTGAGGCAGTTAGAGAGAGTCCAGCGTAAGTTTTTTCGCTTTGCTAGTTACCTACTTAAAATCCCTTGTCCACCGCACGATTATAGCCCTGTAGCTAATTTACTTGGCCTACCTTCCTTGGCCGAGCGGAGACGCACTGCTGGTATTAGGTTTATTGATGGGCTGTTGAAGGGTAAAGTGGAATCGTCTGCTCTCCTCACACTACTTTGCTTTAAAGTGCCTCAACGTCCATCGCGAACTAATGCTCTTTTTTACATCCCGCGTGCCACCACAAACTATTTGGCAAATGAGCCATTACGGCGGCTAATGTCAAATGCCAATGTAGAACCCAATTTTAATTTTAATTTTTAAGTCGTAATTATGTTTAGCTTGTTTAGTTTATAAGTTGCTGTTCAGTTGTGTATTTAATGTTTTTCTAAATTGTACAAATATGCATGTATATATTTATATATAAAAAGGGCCCAGCCCGTATACAATAAATAAATAATGTAGTATACAATAAAGAATTTTGGGCACGATTTTAAACGCTTTCGTTGTTTATTTAGATTTGAAGTTTTTTACTTTTTTACTTTACTAGTTATTATGTGGATTGAATAAATAAATGATATTAATGGTTAATGGTAAAATATACACTATGATGAAGGAGAAAAAAGGTTTATGAACAAGTAAAAATATAAAAAAAAATAAATATGGTAATACCTGTTTTGTAAAAATATCATATTTAGTGCAATAGATGATTAAGTATAAATTTTTGAAAAATCTCTGAAAAAAATTTGTATTATAACGTATTTTGACTTGATGTGCAAATTTAGATACATGATTTGGGCGTGATCCTAAACTACATTAATCTCCTTCGCTCGGAAGACTCATTCCAAGCACATAATAAAAAGTACCTAATTTTGCTTTTAACTGATAGAAGTTATCGGCAAATTCATTGAGAAATTCCGTCATCACAACATTGTTAAGTTGACCGTTTACGTTAATACTGATCCAATCTGTTCCGTTTGAATTTCTCCCGTTCAACTCGACTAAACTGTCTTTGGCTCTTACCGATATTCTAGCTATGAGGTCACCAAGATTTGTGTCTTCTGGCATTGTCCAAGCATACTCTGCCGCTATGTCATAGAAAAAACCGTCGGAAAATTCCATGAATTCGAACACCGTATCAACCGTATCGATTGTCCTCCTGTAGATAGCCTTAAAACTGTTTTCGTCCATGTTGGGCATTAGTTTATCCAAAATCACCAACATTACCCACAGAAAGATGTACACTCTGGTATTGACGATTTGCTTAATCAACTTGTGGTAGCTAAGGTGTCCAAACGGTTTCGACACCCATTGGCGGTTGTCAATGTATTCCTTGGTTTTATTCAGTTCGACTGCGTGCCGTCTTATCGTTGGCCTCCATTCTACGGCTGAGCCGGTTATTTGACCGAACAGTAATTCGTGTTTATCCCATAACGGTTTTAGATACAATTGGTCGATCGTTATGTTTTGCATGACGGTAATATAGTCCGCAGTAAGTTCTGCAGAAGCACGCAGAATTCGAAAAATGTTGAATGGTACCTGAGGATTTTTCGACACCAAATCGAACTCTGTTCTATTTTTGGGAAGGTATTTGTTATCCTTGCAATATTTTATGAATTTTGTAATGCCGCTATGTAGTTCCTCTTCTCCGAAAGCGGGTTCCCCAAAGTAATTTTTGTTGCTATCATAATCGATGATCGTCATGATTTTTAAATAATAGCTCCAAAACCATTTGCCCGCTTTGACTTGGCCTTTTTGAAACATCAACACTATAAGACCAGCTTCTTCTTTCAATACGTTTAGTTCTTCCCGGACGATTTCGATAGGTTCGCCTCTTCGCAACCCTTCCAGAATATTTTCCAAGTACACCAATTTCGATTTTACGATTAGTGTGCAAGTACATTTAACGTCTTCGATTTTCTTGTCAAATTTATCAAACACCGTATTCCGGCCTTTGGTGTCGTTGTAAGTCTGAATAGGAGTTGTCAGAATTGTACGTTCTTTTTCACTAAGTTTTATTTCTTGCTGGTTGTAGGTTTTCAATGTATTCACTATATTAATGTACGAATGAGAGAATATTTGACTGACGTAATATGACGGTGAAACCTATAAAAAAATAAATGTACTTATACTATACAAATATAGTAAACATAATTATCATTTTTGGTAATTCCCGTATCCCTATTATCTTACAAATCTTTATTGGTCAAGTACATAAATATGTAAATATGTTATTAAAATGTTTAACTAAGATTAATTTACTTTAAATTGTTGACATGTCGATAACCAGTTTTAAATCATTATTTTTCATATTTTAGTTTAAAATTCACCGTAGTGGTCAACATATTATTTAAATACTTCAAGAGTTTTAGCCAGGGAAGCATTGTTAAGAAAATTGACTAAAATTTTCCAACCAAAGTTATATTACTTTGACGAGACCAACATTTTGTTGCTTTTCAATGTATTTTGTTCATTTTTTTAATTTTATTTTGTAGGTCAGGTTTGTCAAGTCTCTCAGATGGTAAAACAATATTATCTGAATCACCCTGTACATTAAGATATAGCTTAGATATTTATTAATATGACTGTTATGTTTAATATGTATTTTGTATATGCCTATTTATATAATTAAAAATTATATTAAAAGTTATAAAAAACAAGAAAATAATAAGTCTTTGTTAATTTTATGAGTGTAAATTGTAAAACGAACTTTTAAATTTGTGGAAAATTAATTATGCTTACTTTGTTTTTTGATTCAATCATCATTAAGTTGATTGTTAGTATGACATATAATGACAAAAAAATACGATTGTTTGCTATCATTTTTAAAAAGTTTTACTACATAAGTGCAATTAGTCAAAATGAAATTATAATAATGTAGCTAAGCTGGTCGAGTGCTGGGAATAACGTTTTACATTGGTAACCTAATGTTGTTTCAGACACTCAAAACATCTTAAGCAAATAATTTTGTTTGTATAACATATTTACAAATTATAGTTGTCTGGTAGAATCCAGACAAAACAAAAACAGTCTAGTTTACTTATCGTATTTAATTTTATACTGTTTACTAAATTCATAACGTCATATTTTTGTGTGAATATACTATAAAAGCTAATAGTTTTTGAGTCTACTTGTGTAGTTGGTGAAATCTAAAATATAAGAAAAAACCATTATCTAATAAATACATAAGAAGCCCACACAGCAATAATTGTTTTAATTATTAGGAAACATTAATTATTCTATGATCATTCTATTTTAATGTTTTTTTTAAGTATAATAAAAAAATATATTTAATTTTTTTGTCACTTACACACTGTAAACGACATATTTAAAGACCAGTACAGTATAAACTAGAATAGTCTTAACCAAGTAGAGTCCAAATCAGCACAGTAAGAAATTACCAAAGTGGGGTTCAGTATCCACAGATTCTCATCGAAGCGTTTTCTAGAATGTAATTTTTTTTAAAACTACATCTTCTATTATTGTTGTTTATTTTACTTTGTCAATTATAGGTATTATACTGACAGTTGTTTTATAACATACAGTGTTTTTTTTTCTAAATTTACTTAAGTAAATCACTAATAATAAAGGTTTAGATAATACAAACTTTAAAAAGGATTTTTTAAATGTCAAAAAAGTGAGATGGGTCCTTATGAACCCTAAGTACTGTATATAATATATACTATACAAACGGCAAATATAAACTGCCGTAGTGGCGACAGAAAACCTGGGGGAGGGGGGGATTACGGGTCTGTAAGGATTATTACAAGTTAAACATTTTTAATTTTATGGTGTGTTTTTCTCGGTTTCAAAAAACAAGTTGTATCATTTTCTGTATATACAACAGTCCCACGATCTATGACGTTTTAAAATGTAACGACTTAAATGATTAAGAAAACAAAAACTGCTGAACTTACAATAACACTTAATATTATTATTATTTAAATAACACTTGTACCATTATATAAAAATTGCTAGATACTTCTAAACGGCATTTATTAATACTGTCTAAAAAAAAAAATCCATAAAAATTTGGAACTAATTCGATTATTTTAAAAAATGTAAACAGCACTGTAATTTTTAAGTTAAAAATGCAAATTATTCAAAATTTAAAATATTATGTAAGAATTCAAACTATTAATTAAAGCGTTTTAACTTCTATTTAGGTTTTGATGTGGAGCGAGAAGATTTAGTTTACAAACACATAATTTTTAAAAATTATGTGTGTTTTTTTTATCTATAGAACCACGATATCTTCTTAACTGCTAAACCGAATTCTTTGTCAGAAATTCTATAGATAGGAAATCTTACCCGAAAAGTACATTTTTAAAATTAACACTGTAATATTAAATATAGCAACTAAAATTAAAATTTGTCATATAATGCCCCATAGTACCTATGTAAAAAAATAATATGTATGCCTGTGTGCATAGATGTACTGCATATGAATAAATATAAAACCGATTGGTTATGTTTTAAACGACATTTTTATCGTAAAATAAAGAAAACATGCTAAATTTGTAAATTATGTATTTTTTAATAATATAACCTGGCCGAAGAAGAACGTTTGACAAATTTAATAAAATGTTATACTGTATGGTGAAGGATAGAAAGAAAGAGAGTTCTGAAAAAATATGATCTAGCCGGCAGAGTCCATTTGTATAATATCGGTGAATTGAGGTGTACAAAAACAAGCCTATAATATTTTAAGTTGAAAAGTAGTTTTCAAATTATTTTTCAGAGTATTAATGCGTGCTGTATTTAAAATTTCTAAAAAAATGTATCATACAAAAAATGGTTAAATATATTGACTGTATGTAAAGTGTTTTTATGTGTACTTCTACTCATATGTTATTCACTGATTAAAATTGAAACTAAGACAAACAATAATATGCTAAAAATATTAATAACTACTGTGAGTTTTTTTACAGGCTTTGTTGTTTTTAATACTAGCGCGTTTCGAGTAAGGAACGTTTAGTTAAAAAAAAAATAAACCAACGAAAGTTTATAATGAAAAATATTTTTCAATTCGGTTAAAATCCGACTTTTGGCATTAAGTTAACGATTTTTGCCTGTACACATTAAGGGGAAAAATGTCCTTTTTTTTTAATAAAATTACATAATTTCAATTAATGAAGGGCTATTAAATATATTAAGTCAGTGGTGCAAGATTTTAAAAGTTAGGATGGGAGAGGAAGTGCGGTTAGGGAATGCGCGCAGATAAAAATAAAATACACTGTTCCTTTTCTCCTGCCCTAAACTTGAAACTTCAGTAACTTCAAAAATAGTTATTCGAAACTGGTTATCGACCAGTAAAATTTTTTAGTATATTATTCTCAATTTAAAAAGTTAATAAAATATATACGTTACCATTTAAGTTTCAAAAGTTGCTATCCAAAAAACTAAGTTGGGAGGAGGGTAAAAACAAAAAAAACAAAATGTGAAAAATTGAGATTATGTTTTATAAAAAAAATTATAAAATAAAAATTTCAATTAATAATTAAACCCAGTGAGATATTGACTGGTTCATGATAAAAGAATCACCCTGTATATGAAGATTAGATTCATTTAAACCTATTGAAAATATTATACGGTCTTATCATTAATATTACTCTTCTAAATATTTATTAGAGTATTTATTTACTTTCTTATACGGAAACGTATTAAAAACACGTTTTGAGTCGTGTTGCTTATTAAAATCAAAGTAGGGATTAAATCTAATGTACGCAATTATAGACCAATGTCTAAAATGAGTGTCCTACCAATGTTGTTTGAAAAAAATATTGACCCATTCTCTAGTTTGGTTTGCTATAAGCCTCAAGAAGATCTTAATTACTTTTATAACTGGTGTATAATAAATCGATACATTTTTTAATATCGATGGATATACATTTTAATTTTCTTAATTTTTTATATACAAGGCAAAGTCCTATAACCTATATTTATTGTGATATTTAATATTTTCACTTATCATGAATGGCAATTAGCTATTGTGGTTGCTGCTCAAATGTAATAAGTCCTACACTTAAGATGTCAAGTCCTTGATTTTTTTATACAAGTGTAGTTATTAGACTGCACATAAATCATAAGTCCGGACTTATAATACATTTGATTTGTATACTTGAATTATTAACTGCACACTTATTATAAGTCCGAACTTGTGATAGGTGTAAAGTTAAAATACTTTGTCAACGGACTTATAATATTTAAGCATAATTATTAACTACGAAGCAGTGGACTTATTTGTTGCCTTATTATATTATTTGGTTATTATTGAAATTACTTCAGTGATTTTTTTTTTAAAATTTTTCCCGCGTTTTGAAAGCATTAAAAAAATAGTTAACAAACTGATAAGCTGTTTGAGTGTCCATTCCACAGTATTAGTATGATAACAAATTATCAAATGTTAAGATTTTATGATAAGACATCATAAATACATAAAAAAATATTTTATACGATTGTCACAAGAGTTAATATTTTATTAAAGAAGTATACACATTTTAATTTTATTTTTAAAAGTATAGTTAAAACGTTATTAATAAAGTAGGTGTGACTACTAGAGGAAAAAAAATGTTGGGCATGGTCAAAAATATAAGTAAGTGGTTTTTAATAGCTACCTACCTAATATATTTTACTAAGTACTGACTATAATAATCCATAAAGATACATGTATACTAAATAATATTATTTATTAATAATAATAGTGTTCAAAACATTGGTTTTTTTTTATTACTTATCAGTTATGTGTTACTTGATTTTGTTATTTTCACTATTTTATAATGTCATAATATTTAATATGTTAAGGTAACATATTTTTTTTGTCTAATATGAAGACCTAAAAAGTAATTTGATTTTTGTTTTTTTGGAAATAAAATAATAAAGTAATTGTAAAATAAGTAATAAGTCTACTTAATCATTACAAGTCCATTCCGGTCTAAATTTATTTTGTTACTTTATTATAAGGCCACATCATTTTTCAACTCGATAAAGTGTAACTCGCTAGAGAATATTGATTTATTTAACACAACCTTAACCAATTAAAAAAAATGTATCAAATAATTTGTCCTAAAATTTTGTTTTAAAAATTATTTTATCATTGCTAGGTATTTATTATTACTATTATTTATATTTTCAATTTTATTATTATTAATGTGAGCTATTATCTTAATTATTATGCGTAATCTGTTGCCCGACGGGCGTAAATTCTTTAAATGAAAATAAAATAAAAAATAAGAAGAAAACATATTATTTTGTTGTGATGTTTTGTATGCTTGTTCAAACAATGAATTGTTGTGTATACACCATAAATGTATAATAGTTGTCTTGTCTCGCCGAGATGCAAATTTATGTGCCTTCGGTCCATACCAGGAAGTATATTCCCGACCAAATAAACCTAACAAACCGGCAGTCCTAAAACATTATTTTTAACTGGACTACATGTAATTTCCGTACTATTTTTTTAAAAAATCCAAAATAATTCACACAACATATAAATGATGAAAAAAAAATAAATTTTTATATTAGCATGTGCAACTTTCCTACTTGGCTAGCTGAGCTTAGGCAAAGTGGCCATCGATAAGGCTAAAATATATGGATTCCCACGAAAAAAGTGGTTGGCTAGGTTGTTATTCTACGACTATTTGGGCTTAAAGTCTCCCTATTGTATATTGTTTTCAGATACTCGAATCTGTTCCCGTACTGCACAAAGTTAAATATTTTTTAGAAAAATCAATATGAAACTTATTTACTTAAGGGGGGGGGGGGGTAAGGTATTAAAATTTTTTTTTTAAATTTTTTTTTGTCTACTGAATGCATAATATCTCAAGAATATTGTGTCAAAATTTCAAGTCGATCGGAACAAAATTGACGACGTTATGAGTTGTCGGAATTTTATAGCTGCCCGGCCCGA